TTCATTGACCAAATGCTTGAACGACTTGCTAAACACTCTCACTTCTGCTACTTAGACGGGTATTCTAGATTTTTCCAAATTCCTATCCATCCCGAAGACCAAGAAAAATGACTTTTACTTGTCCTTATGGTACATCCGCTTATCGAAGAATGCCATTTAGATTATGTGATGCCCCTGCAACATTCCAGAGATTTTTATCGAACTTTGAAATGGTGCTAGAAAGATGTAAGTGTCAATATCGTGTTAAACTGGGAAAAATGCCACTTCATGGTCCGACAAGGAATCGTCTTAGGGTATATAGTATGATATAAGGGAATCGAATTAGACAAAGAAAAGATCGAAGTTATAGAAAATCTTCAACCATGCAAAACTGTTAGAGATAAGGAGTTTTCTAGGACACGCCAGTTTTTATCGATGTTTCATTAAAGACTTCTCTAAAATAACCAAACCTATAACTGAACTCCTAATGAAGGATGTTGAGTTCATCTTCACCAACAAATGTTTGGACGTGTTTATAACTCTAAAAAAGCATTAATTTCAGCACCTATTATGTAACCTTCTGATTGGAACGAACCATTCAAGATAATGTGTGATGCCAATGACTATGCCGTAGGCGCAGTCCTAGGACAAAGAAAGGATAAAAAGCTTCATGCGATATACTATACAAGTAGAACCCTAGATCCTGCGCAGACAAATTACGCTACCACTGAAAAAGAATTGTTATATGTTATGTTTGCTTTATATAAATTTCGTTCCTGCCTAGTAGGAGCACAAATAATTATCTATACTGACCACACTGCAATCCGGTACCTCTTAAGTAAGAAAGACGCCAAACCAAGATTATTAAGGTGGATCTTACTTCTTCAAGAATTCAATTTAGAAATAGAAGACAAGAGAGGCACCTAGAATGTAGTCGCTGACCACCTATCCAGAATAGAAGGCATCAAACCAGATCATGTTCCCATCAATGACGATTTTCCTTATGAACGCCTTGTAGCCCAATTAGAACTAGAAAGTATCATAATTGAGTACCCTGTGACTTATGAAGACAAGAACACAAACAAAATTTTGGAAGAAATATGCACCACAACCATGCTACCATGGTACGCCGATTTAGTAAACTATTTGGCTACTGGAGTGGTTCCACCTAATATGTCTTATCAACAAAAGAAGAAATTATTTCATGACCTTAAACATTATTGTTGGGACGAGCCTTTACTTTTCAAAAGAGGCGCCCATGGTATTTTCTGTTGATGTGTTCCCAAAAGTGAAATTGAAAACTTAATTTTCCACTATCATGCCACCCCCTGTGGAGGACATGCAAGTACTTTAAATACTTGTGCTAAGATATTACAATCTGGACTTTATTGGCCTACCCTCTAGAAAGACGTTCATATCACAGTTAAAAATTGCGACCAGTGCCAACACATCGGAAATATCTCTAGACGTGATGAGATGCCTCAAAAGGGCTTCTGGAAGTTGAAGTCTTTGATGTATGGGGAATCGATTTCATGGGACCTTTCCCATCTTCCTTTGGAAATCACTACATACTAGTTGTTGTCGACTATGTTTCGAAATGGATCGAGGCTGTAGCCTCTCCAAAAAATGACGCGCGAGTAGAAGTTAGGCCTTTCAATAACGTAATCTTTCCAAGATTCGGTGTGCCAAGACTCGTCATCAGTAACGGTGGCTCCCATTTCATTTCCAGAATCCTAGAAAAATTATTAGCGAAATACGGAGTCTGACATCGTGTCGCAACGCCTTATCATCCACAAACAATTGGGCAAGTAGAGGTCTCCAACAGATAAATAAAGAAAATCTTAGAAAAAAACTGTAGCAACCTCTAGGAAAGAATGGTCATCTAAGTTACATGACGCTCTATGGGCATATAGGACAACATATAAAACTCTGATTGGAACAACACCATTCAAACTAGTTTATGTCATCCTCCAGTGGAAATAGAACATAAGGCTTATTGGGCCATTAAGACCCTTAACTTAAATTACAGCGCTGCGGGTGAGAAAATACTCTTAGACATCCATGAACTAGAAGAACTTAGACTAGACGCTTACAAAAATGCTCAGATATATAAAGAGATAACTAAAAAATGGCACGATAAACGAATATCTAGAAAAGAATTCAATGAAGGCGATATAGGTCTAATGTTTCATTCTAGACTTAAATTATTCCTGGGAAAACTTTGTTCTAGATGGTCTGGTCCATTCGAAGTTACCAAGATTTTTCAAAGTGGCGCAATAGAAATCAAAGGAATGAGTTGCAAACCGTTCATTGTAAACGGACAACGCTTAAAACATTATCAGAACATAGATAACAAAGAATATTACACAACAATTAGGCTAGATACACTACCACCCCATTCATCAGACTAATCCCCATGTAATGTCGAGCTTACGAATTTAAACAAAGTGCTTCTTAGGAGACAACCCAACTTTGAGTCTTTTCTTTTTGTTTTGCTTGTTTTTCTATTTTATTTTTCTTTCATGCTTTTATTATTATTAATGTTAAAATATGCAATATTGTTTCTATAATTTTGCCCGTTACTAACTTAATGCTAACTGACAACCTACTTCAGGCTAACATTCCGATTAGCTAGTATACTAACAACGATGAACTTGGTTGATAGGATGGGAATTATGTTTAGAGGAAGGAACCAGTGGAGGAGGTTTGAGTCTCTTTCTAATAGGGAGTTAGGATTAAATACCTACTTGTAGCGGTAAAATCAATAAAGTCGCCATCGAGTATTTATTTATCCGTAAAAGGGAAAGGAAAATCATCGAAGATAAACCTAAAGGGGAAATCAAGGTTTTGCAATCGAGAGATTGGGTAAGGGAGTCGATTATGCGAGAGGAAGGTATTAGCACCCCACACGTCCGTAGTACTCTACGGGATGCACTCTGGTTGTTCTAATCAAAGGGTGTGTTTAATCTAATGCTTAAGAGTTATAAAATAGGAGGGAATGCATGCAAAGAAAAACACGGGGAAAAGAAGGAAATATTTACAAATTTTCGCTCGGCTGAGCCCCGTGACCAGATGCCTACATATCCCTTTTAAGGAATCAGAGTGCCATAGTTCGACTTACATGTTTTTGTTTGTTTGTATTTTTTAAATGAACAATGTTGAATTCGATCACTCCACCGATGCTCGACCTTTGGAGACTTACGACCTGTAGTGGAAAGGAACTAACACGCTCTTAGAAGAGAAAAGCTGAATGGAAAAAATAACTGGATTGGTTGGTATTTTTTACCATAAAAGAATTTTTGTATGCTTAGCATTTTTTATACATTTGCCAAGAAAAAAGATGTTTTAGTTTTAAATGCAATTACACAATAGAGGAAAGAAAATTCTAAAGGGAGACTAACCTATCTTTAACCTAATGTTATCATACAATGATTGATCCTAAAGTTGAGCTTAAATGGAAATCTCTACCCTAAGTTGACATGCTTTGATACAATCTTAATGTCTATCTCAACTCATCATCTATAGATGAATCAAGAAGTCCTAAAGGATCATAGCAAGGGACTATCATCTCAATACATGAAAAGTCGAAATCAAGCAAGCAGGCCAATAAGCTCAAGAGAGTATACCTGGAGAGATCCTACCTAGGTTAGAATGCTAAAGAAAATCTAACAAACTATCCTATAGGGAACATACAATGAGAGCGAAGTCGTGATCTCAATTTCTAAATTGAGTGACTCATCGATCAACAAGAAATAAATGAAAGCGATAAAATCATATAGGGAGCATGCATTGAGAGCGAAGTCGTTATCTCAATCTCTAAATTGAGTGACTCATCGATCAACAACCAAGGAAACAAGCACAAGCATAACACATATAGCAAATGAAGTGTGGAATGCCTGCTACATGTCTTTAAACAACGACTTCGAGCGCACGCTCTTTATTTCCTACTTCTCATGATATCTAGAAAGCAATAAACTGATGAAATATAAATTGGAAGCAGTATAATACCAAACGAACAATAATGTCCGCAAAAAGCGCAACCAAAGAAAATAAACCCGGAATACTTCGCGCGAGCTGGCATCAATAAACAAACAGTCAGAGATCGAATATTCGGAATAGGTGTCGAAGCAACATCGATGTGAAAATAAATCACAATCGGAATCCAAACACATCCGCATATCAAACAATGATCCTGCATAAGATTCATCTCAATAAGAAAAAGTGAATCACGAGTTTCAAGTAATAAAAAAAATTATGAATTAATTTTCTAAAATCAAATGAAAGAAAAATTCTAACAAATTTTTATTGGTTTGGTAATTTTTTTATCATGGAAAGATAAAAAAATATTAGAGAAACCTAAATTCTATCTTCTTTTTATCACTAATCTTCATTAAAGAAAATTTAAAAGAGAATTTACTAAAAAAAAAGAGTTAACACAATTAAAAACAGTCAGGGGTGAAGCATAGCCCAGGGGTGTGGTAGCAACAAAGCACTAGGCCCATCTAGAACAAGGTCCATTAAGCATTTTTGTTATACACACTAAGGGACCACCAAAAATTTCCCTTTGGGCCAAGGACAAGAGTAATTTGGTCCACCCAACATTATGCAGCCTTCATCAATTGTATTCACATTTTTTATCAAAATAGAAAGGGAAAATAAAAGAAAACGGTGAGGATACAGTGCATTTTTAGCTTGAGGGAACATGATTCACAAAATTTGTGACTATTCCTGTTTGCGAAGATACTTCTTCCTTGCTTCTCCATTTCACAGAACCACACCGTCAACTGACTCGTCTCCGATTCCATTTCAAATCATCTCCGATTCCGTTTCAAATCATCTCTCCAATTGAATGGAAGATTCCACTTCATCCTTTTTCTCCGATGGTCTCCGAAGAAATACGCCGTCGCGGTTTTTCCTTGTCTGTCCTCGTCTCTATCATAAACCATTAATATTTTAACATATCTCTTCTTCATCAAAATTGAATGGACGGTCTTCAAATTGTTCCAGATCTAACACCAACGATGAAGTTCCGATTTCACTACTACTCGTTGTCACTTTCAGATTTTCGCAGAATAATAGAGAAAAAGATGAACACGAACGCGGAGATTCAGAGTTTAGTGAAACTTAACCTCTGGAGCAAAACCGGTGGTTTATTTTTTAATCGCGACAAAGATGATGCGATGATCATAGATGACTCGGTATGTTTCTCTTTCCGCTTTTTTCGATTCACTTCTCTGTTTGCTTCTGCGTTATCGTTGCGATGTTGTTGATGTTGTACGTGATGTTTAATTTATTGAAGCTGATGAATGATGATGGTGAAGGTGCAGAATGTTGTGGATGAAATTGTTACGAAACCGAATGAAGGTTGATGATTGTTGCAGAGGAATGATGAAATTGATTGAAGGATGAAGAAGATGCGATTACAAAGATTTCAGAGGGAGTTCTTTTTTTGTGAGTTTTTGTGAGCTTTTTCCAGAATGAATCCCCCGATTCTGTTATGAATCCTCCCCCCTCTTAATTCTCTTAGAATTCTGTTATGTGGTTTTATGAATCTGTGAGAGATTTTGTTAGGAAGTTAGCAATTATGTTAGAAAATAGTTAGGATCCTCCTAGTCAGTGAATTGGATTCTGTTAGAAGTAGATTAATCTGAGTTGGAAAAATGATTGGAACATCCATAAAATTCTGTTTTTAAGTTGGTTAGACTTTTAGGAAAGTTAGTTGAAGGAAAACTGTCATGCCCTGTTAGTTTTATTGGTTAGTTAAACTCAAATAAGGTAGTTAGTTAAGGTTTAGAAGTAGCACTTGTTAGTTTTTTTATTACAGTCAGTCGGTTGGAAAACAATTAAGAGGCTCGATTTGGACTGACAACTTATTTTTTATTATGCAGGGTCCACTTTGGATTTTATTTGATTATTTAATGCAGCCTATTTAAAGAAGTGCAGGGCTGAAATGTCCAGTTTTGGTTTGGACTAATGATGTGCATGAAATGAGTAGGGGAGTATGGCTTCAAGATAATAAGGTTCAGTCATTCAGTTCTGTCATATAATGGATTTGGGGAACAGCATCTGAAACACTGGTCAAGGGAATAAACACGCTAACTCTTTGGAAGTGCAACTCCCATAGCCATTGAACACCAACCTTTTGATAGTCGAACAGAGCTTCAAATATATTCTCAGGGATTTTCAGCCCACCGTCTAATGTTACATAAGAAGATTCATGTTCAGAAAGTTCAACATCATGGCCTTCTAAACTTTCACAACTGGAAGTGTCTAAGCAACCATTTTCATTTTCACTTCCTTCCAATTGTCTATCCTCAGAAGAAACACGTTTGGTCCATTTCTTGTCAGGCAAAGGTCGATTTGACAGCTGGTTTTATTGCACAACTAGCCTCAAACTGATTTTGCAGTGTGTTAACTCTTGGTTTGACTTATATTTTTCCCCTGTTTTGATTTACAATAGGCTCCAGTATACTCAGGCATGAGCATGGCAAGGCGAATCTGGGCAGCGGGTTGGCATCCGTCTTGATGCAAGATTTGAATCTTGGGCACGACGCGAAGCTTTAGACCCAAATAAATCATGGATTTAAACGACTTGGAAACTAGAATTAGATTTTTGTAGTATTTTTCCTTTACACTTTCCTTCCTTTAATATTTCATGACATAATGGACAATATTTTGAAACTTGAATGGATATTTGGATAGAATTTGTAATAACAATGGAACAAAGCCTTTTGTACTTTCTTGAATTCAATTGATGAAACTCCATAAATTCAAAACATCTTCTTTCACCATGAACTTGAAATCTTCAACCTTTTTTAATTTGATCTTCATGTAAGAACTATCAATATCTTGTGCTTTTGTGTATTGTAATAGTTTTTTGGCCTTGTAAGAGAAACTTTTCCTTGCAATTCCTTCTTTCTCATTTTTTTTTGTAATTCCACTTGTAATGATTTGAGGATACTAATGAACAAAGCTTCCACTAATTTGCATTTAAAAATTATAAATATTTTCTTTGACTTTGCAATATAAAATAAACCATAAAGTTTGGCATCTCGAATAATGGATGGGGGATTGCTTAAAGCTTAAATGGAATCATATCTTTGACAATTTGATAATGACTTTGGACAATGAAGGGTTTGGATCCGCATTGACTTTGAATGGCATTTGAATCACTAACTTTGAATTTCATACAAACCATTATACAAATTTTATTGAATTAATCTGGGCTTAAATGCATTTGTTAAACGAATCTTCAAATCACCTCCAACGAAAACTCAATCCAAATCTTCTATTTAATCAAAGCACAAGAAGCAAACCTACCTTGATTCACAGCTTGAGCACCAAGAATTATCTTGATGAAATCTTTAATAAACCCTTAACCATGTAACAAATAGCATCACAAGAAAGAAGTCCTTGGTCCAGTCCTCTACACTTCTTAAAAAGAATGTCTATTGGAGAAATCACTTAGGAGAAATCCTAATTATTGCTTTTTTTGAAAAATCTTGATGAAGATAGCTTTGTATTCTGAGGAATTTTGTCAGGGAAGATGTCTATGAGGCTGAAAATTCAAAACCCTAGTCTCGTAGAAGGAATAATAAGAGAACTAGTTGAATCAATTTTGAGTAAGATAGCAACCTCAATTCATAGAGAGAAACCCTAATGCCAAAGCTCTTAGATCCTGTAACCCTGGGAACAATGCTATGTGTGAGATGTACAGAGCATGATGAGGGATCTTAGAGGCAAAAATTGGGATATAACACTACCCCGACGGACTAGCCATGATAACCTTAGGGATTTAGGATAGTGTTATGTTTTTATTGAGCCAAATAGGATGGGATACATCTGCTATAAGGAGAAAATTTAGCTCTTACCGTAGACTGACTTTAGAGTTTTTAAGCTCCCTCGTCTACAAACTTGACCATGGTCTAGGATTTAATAAGGGACTCATTAGATTTAGATTGTTCGGTATAGAGTACACTTTCACCCACATAGAGCTAAATGACTTACTAGGATTCCCATATAGCCTAGATGCATTTACCGTAGTCTATGAAGAGCTTTTTAATGTAGGAGAACTAGATTATTTCTAGGGGGACATTACAGGCTTTAGTAACCCTGAGCCTGAGGACATGCATTCTGAAAACATCTGCAACCCAGCTTTTAGATAATTCCACAAAATTCTAGCCCACACCCTGTTTGGTAAATCTGAAAACATTACCACCATTTCTAGAGCTGAGGTTTTTATCATGTTTTGCGCCTCGAAAACTGTCCTATAAACGGAGCTACATTTATGCTAGCAAATTTTCACCGTCTTGTGAGGGCTGAACATGAACCCATTCTTATAGGAGGTTTAGTGACCATGATAGCTAATGTTATCAGATTAAGACAGCAATTGTTGAACCTTGTCCCTCAGGGTATATTCCAGCCTATGGATATTAATTTCTGTTTTAATAGGGGTATCATCGGGAACCTAGGCCCAGGTAGTTTTCACCTCCTCATTAACAATCAATCCATGCCACTTTTTACCTTACCTTACCCTACGACGAGCATTCATGACTGAAATAACTTGTTATACGATTGGGACGCACCACACATGTCACCACCATACACTCCTGAGACACCCATGATATATGACCACCTTGATGCTTTCCTTTCCGATGAGGCTATTTATCCTTAGACCCCTCCTTTCTACCATGACTTCCCACCCCCCGAACAGGTAGGCTCAAACTTCCCTGACTCTCCAGTTATTTCTCTGCCTTATATTTTTCATCCTGCTCCTGCTTTGACTGCCTTTCAATCAGAGATTGATATGTTGAAAGACGAGCTTGTTATTTTGCGGATTGACTTCAATTCCTTTATGGATACGGTAGTCGAACAACTGGATTACATTTATCAGCATCTTTTCTCCGCATCACTGGACCGCCGTGGCTGATTCACTTGACATAATGCTTTATTTTATTTCCAGATTTAAACATCGAGGATAATGTTTTGTTTAAGTGTGGGGAGAAGTTTTATTTTCATTATTTATTAGACACTTTATTTTTTTCCAATATTTTTTGGAAGTTTATCATTCAGTACAATTTTATCATTCAGCACTTTTGGAATTTTATCTTTCAGTATAATTTTTTATTAATCTTAATTTTTTAGTTCAATTTTATTATGAGTTTATTTATTTAGTTTATTCTGCATTACTATCATATTTATGTGTATATTCCATGCTTAAATGATTCAATATTATTTACCCATATATATGTAGAATTATTAAAATGGTATTCTGCAATATAGAAAATGAAAAATATTGCAGTGCTGGACGTGTGTCGCTCGCCACACAAGCGTGACGCTCGTCACACTTGGCACGACTCAGTCCCAGTCGGCACACACGCATGACGCTCGGAACATACTGATAATAAAACATCGTTTCTGTATTCTTTCAGAAAACTCGCAAAACCCTTTCACCCTTCCATTTTCTTCAACCGCTGCTCACGATACATTGAACCTACTTCCTATTTCTCTTCACCCATTATCATTGCCATAAAAAACCACGAAAGCCCCACTTATTACCATCATTACATATCTCTACATAAACCATCTCCAAACCCTTTTTCACTCCTAAATCCCCAATTTCTCACATAAACCTTCACCCTTCTCCTTTCCTTGATTCAAAATGGCACGAAGAAATTCCTGGCCTGAACCTGATCTTTCAGGCATTATATTTCGTAACGGAGAAGCGAAGAGCACCAAAGGGCTCAGTACCTCAAGTTCTATCAACTCTTCGTCGTACCGATACGGTATGTGGATACTGAGTGCCTCCGAAAATTAGGCTTGCTTGATAGTGTCCAGTGGTTACTCCATCACTCTGATTTAACGTCCATCTGCATGCAGAACCTCCCAACATACGAGTTACTAACCTTGGAATTTCTGAGTTTGTTCTCTTACAACCTGCCTTGTGACGAGAACAAGCACCTATTTGGCTCCGCCACTTTTTGAATGTTCAACAACGAATATTCTGTAAGCCAATCCACTCTCAGTGCATTCTTCCACTTTCCTACCGAAGGGATGGTACACTACTGCATTCCAGAAGACCTTGATTGGGCGTATATAGGTTTCAAACTTTGGAAAGTACTTACCAATGAAGAACCAAAAAGCTGGGAAGGTTTTTATGCCTCATCCATCCATAATCCCGCAATAAGGTACTTCCACCGTGTCATCTCAAATACCATTTTTTGAAGAATGAAAAACAACAAAGTTAATTCAAAAGAGTTGTTCCTCCTCCATTATACCTTCAAACCAAACCAAAAGATCAATGCAAGCACCTTCCTCCTTTCATATATCCAGTCCTTGTGCCCTAGAGGATCTACGCCTTTCTGCATTG